GGGCTCTATTTTAATGATCTAGGTGCAAAGTCTAAAGCGCAGGATGAAAAGGGATCTGAATCCACTTTTTGCTATTATCAGAGTTTCATCTCCCATTCCCTTTAAGAGTCAATTGCGTTGCACCATGGCATTTGCTATTTACATGACAGACTTTGTAAGTGGAAAAAACTGAAAGCTTTACTAGCGAGAAAACCGTTAAACAGAGCATTTCTTTCTTTCGTGGATAATGAAACATTGTTGTATCCATTCCACTGAAGACATCCATTAGCCTATATATTTAATTTCGTTCACTAGATATGTTTCAAAACTATTTATAAATTCAGTTCTAATTTCTAGAAAACAAATAAAAGAACAGTAATAATGAAGTGTGCTCAAAAACGGAGTTATATCCAAACACACATCCTGTGCCCCATGTGGTCCAAAAATGACCAATAAATCTAGGCTTGCTTTTAATAAAACAAATATAAATATGCATATGAATATAAAGATGCAAATATGCATGTAATAAATAATACTTCTACTAATATTAACATTATACAAAAGCGAAATGTGCAATGCTATATAAACAACGTGGAGGAAGACAGGAAAATTAAGGTTGCGCTGGTCTGAAAATAGCAACACGTCGGGGCAAACCGGGGCAAACACGGAGAGGGGTCTGGATGCAGACCTGGTGCAGTGCAATCTGAGCGGCATCCAATGCTTTCTAATGGGCTCACCTAACCCCACACCTAACCCTACCTATCACAGTGTCTGACATTGCATCGCTGAGTGATGCAATCTCAGCTTGCATCATAAAGGCTGCATCCAGATACTATTACAAACACGTCTTGTGCCTTATTGCGCCGGGTGTATGATAGGATTCTAACCATCTCTTGAATTTTTATGATTTTCATGCTTCATGTTGCCAGTGACTGTTTGTACAAACACATTTGCATCATTCAGAAATTAAGTTAGAGACTATATAACGCTTCAAAAATAAAGCCATTTAAGAACATGTAATACAAATAAAGTTCCTCGCCATCATGTCTTTCTCCCTAATCCATGCTTATTCTTGCTCTTTCTGTATTTTTATGTTGAACTATATATACATAAAAGAGTGCTTAAATTCAAATACTGAAAGTTATCTATTTATTTAATAAAGGTTAGTTATTACCAAGAATACCTGAGCACATTATTTTTTCTATAGTCCATGTTTCCTATATCTCTCTTTGTGTTACTGTATATGCTTTGTGCAGCTAATTCATACACTCCAAATTTAGACATTAGATATGCGACAGTTAAAAAGACTGTGGTGGAAACCCACACAAACATGAGGAGAGCATGCAAACTCGACACATGCCAACTAACCCAGCAAGGGCTCGAACTAGCGACCTTCTTGCTGTGAGGCAACAGTGCTACTCACTGAGCCACCATGTCGCCCCTGTCAAAATGCATAATATACTTTAGAAAAATACATTACAATGTTCAATCAATAAATGTGTCATCAATTTGTAGTTTAGCATCAATTTACAGTTACTTAGAATGGGGGTCTCTTCAATCTCTTACATGCTATGGATGACAAATATTATCATCATCTTGCCTAAAATGTTAAAGAGATCTATACAGTGTCAGTATATACAGATGAAATCAGAATTATGTCAAACATTTCCCAAATGATGTTTAACAGAGCAAAGAAATTTGCACAGTATGTCTGATAATATTTTTTCTTCTAGAGAAAGTCTTATTTGTTTTATTTTGGCTAGAATAAAATCTGTTTTTAATTTAAAAATAAACATTTTAAAGTCAATATTATTAGCCCCTTTAAGCTATATTTTTTTTCGATAGTCTACAGAACAAACCATCGTTATTCAATAACTTGCCTAATTACCCTAACCTGCCTAGTTAACCTAATTAACCTAGTTAAGCCTTTAAATGTCACTTTAAGCTGTATAGAAGTGTCTTGGAAAATATCTAGTCAAATATTATCTACTGTCATCATGGCAAAGATAAAATAAATCAGTTATTAGAAATGAGTTATTAAAACTATTATGTTTAGAAATGTGTTAAAAAAATCTTTTCTGATAAACAGAAATTGGGAAAAAAATAAACAGGGGGCTAATAATTCAGGGGGGCAAAAAATTCTGACTTACAGTGAAATTAAATATTTTCAATGGGTCTTTCTGTAATTACATTATTATTTAAAATATAAAAAATATGATTCTTTTGATGTCAATGTGCAATTTGACTCAATCCTGTTCTTCACTTTTACGAGCTTCACCATTAACACGTCCTCATCTTGGCCCCACACGCTTTATCTTTTCTTTGACATTCAGCCGAATACAAACCCTCACCCTGCTTTGTAGTTGCTCCATGCCAGCTCTCCTAATAGCACTGCAGATTACGGCAATAGACTATCTGTTCGAGTCTTTTCCCTTGCTAAACTGAGAAATCCTCCCTAAGCCCTCTCAGAAGGGTGTGTGTGTGTGTGTTTGTGTGTGTGGAAAGACAATGAGAGGTGTGAAGTGCAAAGCGCAGAGAGAATTCACTTCAGAGCCGGAGAGGGAAGCTAATTCCAGCTTTTAGCCCCTGTATCGATCTAGTCACTTGATTAATCGCCTTAAGTTGACATGCCGCTCCCTTGTGGGCACCGCTCACCAGGACGCCCTGCCAGATGCCCGCTCGGTAATGAGAGCATGATGAGAAAGCAAGAGGAGGAGGAGGTGGAAGAGGGAGCTTGAGGCCTCATTATGAATGTCTGTGCTGCTATTATGGAGACACAGGACCTCACAAGAGAAAGTTATTAACACTTTATTCTAAATGCAACTCTCATGTCTTTGCTCGCCAATTCTCACTTTTTCTTGCTCTTTTTTTCCCCCAATTTCTGTTTAACGGAAAGAAGGTTTCAACACATTTCCAATCATAATAGTTTTAATATCTAATATTTTAATAACTGATTTATTTGATCTTTGCTATAAGGACAGTACATCACATTGTACTAGATATTTTTCAAGATACTAGATATACGCTTAAAGTGACATTACTCAACTAGGGTATGATTAGGCAAGTGAATAGCCTTTTTCACACAGTAATACTGGTAAATATCTGGAAAATTACCGGAACAACTTTACCGGTAAATTTAAAAAGCGCTGTTCACACAGGCAAAGACATTACGGAATTTTTCCGGGAAGAACATTCACACATATATTCCAAAATACCTGTAAATTCTGACATCATTAACCAGGAATGAGCTCAAAACAGCTGCGCTTGTATTTGTAAACATTTGTCTACATTACAAACTCTGCTGATGATTAAGTATTGTGAACAACTTCGATGAAAACATGGAGGAACACTTTGGTACATGTGTGTGTGCTGGTGTTCCCCGGCTGCTTCACATGCACACGCGTCAAGCAACTGAAGCAGAGCTTGAAGGTAAACAAACAGCGGTTTATCATAAGCCATTTATCAACAATTGTTTACGCAGTGGGCATTAAGAAAGAAAAGAGAAACGTTATTTAACTAACATCTATAGCAGCTAAATTTGTCTGGAAAAAAATTCAAAGGCATTTATTTTCATAAACAGTGCAGATGTAAATGCTTCTGAATGTACTAATTGGAGTAGATGTCTCACGTCAGCGCTTTCTAAGCGTGAACGGGCTCTTTCCGGCTATTTTCCTTCTGTGTTTACACAGCGCAGCGTTTCGGCAAATTACCGGTAATATTACAACTTCTTTTTCCGGAAAAATGCAGGATCAAAATTACCGGTATTTTCAAAAATGGCCTGTTCACACATACAGACCTTTCCGGAAAGTTGACGGTAATTTTCCGGAAAGGTCTGTATGTCTGAAAGGGGCTATTGTATGATGACGGTTTGTCCTGTTGACAATCGAAAAAAGTATTCTTAAGGGGCTGAGAATATTGACCTTAAATTAATTTATTTTTAAATAGAAACTGCTTTTAATCTAGCTGAATTAAAACAAATAAGACTTTCTCCAGAAGGAAAAATATTATAGGAAATACTGTTGAAAATTCCTTGCTCTGTTAAACATAATATGGGAAATATTTGACATTTCACAAAATCACAAGAAGGCTAATAATTTTGACTTCAAGTGTGTATATTTATTTGTATATATTCATTTTAGTTATAATATAATAATATACAAAGGTTTAGATGATTTGTGTGTAACAGTTCGTAAAGTAATATATTCTGTTTTGTAATGGCTATATTAACTTAATGACCAACTGTAGCTTACGTCAGATAAACAGCAGTCAGTGATAGAGACAGACACGGATGAAGCTGAAATACAGCTTAAGCTTATTTCATGTATTTGTGTTGGAGTTTATTCAAGCCTTTCTGAAACGATGAGACACACACAGTACACACACACACACATACACATATGCATGTTTACTGACACCATACGGCTGTGGTGATTATAGCAGTTAAGAATTACATACTGTAGCAATTTTACTGACTTTATTACAAACATGCTCTCTTTTAAAAGCGTTTTAAACTTATTAACTTAATTAATTAGTTGTGTACGATTAATCAGTTAAAACATGTATTTTAATCCTAGTTCCTTTACAAAAAAAAAAAATCTGTGGACATGTGTATACATGTTATTATGAAGGCATAGCACCTGTCAATCAATTTAGTAGGTGGGGAAAACCCGGCACTCCTATGTTGTCTTGCAGTGGGCCTCAAAATCATTGGGATTTGGATATTTTAATGTTAGAAAAAAAAAAAAAAAAAGACTTATTGTGTTTAAATCACTCCAATATGACAGCAGACACACTATACATACAGACAGTTCTGTCCAAACAGCTTACAAAAGTTGATTTTCATCATAGGTACCCTTTACATTTTCAGCTCTCACATTTTATTTGTTTTCGATTTTTGATATATGTCAAGTATCTTGTATAGTGTTTACCTTTTCTCTAAGATCTTGATATTGGCCTGTTCTTCAACATAATTCTAGCAATGGATTGTCTGTGTCTAAAACTCTGGATGTGTTCTTTTGAAGTGCCACAACTACAGTGTAAATGCGCTGGTCCTGGAGAATCAGCCCCCGGGCACCTTTGTCCTGCGGGTACAGGCTCATGATGCCGACACTGGGGTCAACGGGGAAGTCAAGTATGGGATAATGCAGAGGGACGGAGCCTCGCCGGGGTTTACTATAAACCCTGATACAGGTACATACTTCCAGATAATTGAGTACACATATTAGAGTGGTAAATAAAGTTAATTTCTGTATTGTTGGACATTGTTTGATAAAAATACATTTTATTAATTTCTAAAACTACTTAAATTAGAGATGTACTGATCCACCAATCAGCCAGTAATCGGTATCAGCCTGTTGTTTTAAAATGTCTTATATGTGGGAGTTTTATTTATTTTTTCCCTTTTTTTTTATGTTTTCATTTTCCTCACCTAAATTTTATTTTTATTTATTTTATTTTTTATTGAAGTTTTTCATTTTAATATTATTTTATTCGTCTATATTTTATTTGTTTATTTTATTTTTCATGTTTTAATTTTTCTTACTTTTTTCTTTTATTTTTGGCTTTTTTTTCTTTTATATTTTATCATATTTTATTTTATTTTATATGGTTTTATATTTTATATTTTGTTTCATATTTTATTTATATTTTATTTTATTTTTAATTAATTTTATTCTTCATTTAAATTTAGCATTTTAATATTATAATAATAAAATTTTTGATGATTTTTATTAATTATTTTAATTTTCTTTATTTCTTTTTTAATTTTTCTCACCTTAATTTTATTTTATTTTAATTAATAAAAATATTGATTAATTAAAGTAAAATTTAATATATATATATATATATATATATATATATATATATATATATATATATATATATATATATATATATATATATATATGTATAGAGAGAGAGAGAGAGAGAGAGATTAAATTTTATTATATATGATTAATATTTTATTTTTTATTTATTTTATACTTTATTTAATTTTTATATTTTATTATTATTTTATTTGTCTTTATTTCTTTGTTTTATTTTTCATGTTTAAAAAAAATAAAATGATACATTGATAAAAGAATATTCTTATTTGTTCAGATGAAATTCTTATATCCAAGCATCCAAACCAATAAATGCTATTTAGGGAATTCAAGCTTGTCATAAAATATATAAAATAAGCTTTCACCACTAAAAAAACAAATATGTGCATTGCACTGTATGTGTTGCGCAGGTGTGATCAGTACAGCAGTGAGTTTTGACCGGGAGAAACAGCGAGAGTATACTCTATCAGTCACGGCTACAGACCAAGCACAAGAGCCGCTCATCGGCATCTGTCAGATCACCGTCCTCATCGCTGACCAGAACGACAATGACCCTAAGTTTGAGAACAGCCGCTACCAGTGTAAGTACTGTGTTTATTACCCTTATTAAAGACCAGGTCAATTAGTTGTTGATGTTAGCATTTGTGCAAGGCGGTGTGCTGCTCTGATATAAGTCCTACAATAAAACTGTAAAGTGCTATGTGTTATATAGAAATGAGTAGGTAGGAAATCTTCTAAACGGTCCCCTGAATTGATTGTATTTGTTGGCCATACTTAAAATCAGTTCCTCCACCCCTTAGCATATATAAAAGAGTGATAGCATAGCAAGAAGTCATAGTCCCCAGTTTTATACGTAGACTCTTTAAACATTTATACACGGACCTTTAACATTGCACTTAATGGCAGTGAGGATTTGCAAGCTTAACAAATTCTTAAGTCCTGGAATCCTGAGTGTGGTCAATACACATTTAACCACGATATTAAAAATGCATAACAGTCTAAGCAAGGTGAGCTTTAATGCGCTTGAACGCGGTATAAACACGTCACCATTCATTTTACATGCAATCTGGATGCAATCCTGGAAAGCTTACTGAAAAGTGTGTGAAATCTTCCGAGGGGGGGGGGGGGGGGGGGGGGTATTTATAATTGCAAATATAACTTGAGCAAGTTTGATGTCAGAAACGCTTTTCATCACATTGAAAGTGCTACTGGGAAAGCTCATTAACAATTAAAGGGCAGGATTGAAACGTTTTTCTGGGACGCACATTCCTTTTCACCGCACATAGATTTTAACAGCACAAGACATTTCTTGTTTTTAGACTGTTGTTATTGGTTTTTGTTGACGTCTGTGTTAACCTTTCCCATGCCAGACTTCTTGCGGGAGGACACGCCAGTTGGGACTAGTTTCTTGAGGGCCGCAGCTCATGATGACGATCAGGGCACCAATTCGGCCATCACATACTCCCTGTCCCAGCAGAATCCGGCTTACTTTCACATCAACCCCAGCACAGGATGGATCTACGTCAACCAACCCATCTCACAGGTACACTTTAGAATGCACCCGCTCACCTGCACACATCTTTACTTATAAAGTCAAAAAACATATACAGGCAAAGCGTATTACTACCTTTGGCTCTTGGCAATAAATATGCACGATAACTATAATTATAAAGATTTCGTTTTAGAAATCGTTCACAGTCTTAAAGAGTAGCATACTTCCCTCCTCAACTACAACAATAAAGAGGAATGATATCGTTAGGATAATTATTACTTTCAGAATGATTTTTCCTAGCTGATGAATAATGAAACGCGAACAGCCGGTCAGAATCCATTTGTGCAATATAAAGATACAGACAACACTATCAAGAAGCACATTGCTTGATGTTAAGCCCTTTTTTTAAAAGATTATATAAGAACAACTATCATAGAAACAATTGGTTATATCGATAGAAATAATGATTAAAAATAAGTAACTTAATAAAGTCATGCTCGCGAATTGAAGTATAAAAATAAAAGTACTGCAAGAATCTAGCGCTAGTTTCAGTGTCTTTGGGCTCTAATTTAACGATCTAGGCGCAAAGTCTAAAGTGCATGGCGCAAAAGCATTAAAGGCGTGTCTGAATCCATTTTTTGCTATTTTAAGGATGGAAAAATATGCGTGGTCTAACAGGGTTGTGCTTATTCTCTTAATGAGTTATGTGTGTGTTTTGAGCATAACATGCATTAAACCAATCAGAATCTCATCTCCCATAACCTTTAAGAGTCACTTTCGCCACGACATGGCGCATATGATATTTACATAGTGAACTATGTAAGTGGAAAAACTGTTTATTAGGGAGAAAACATTTTAACAGAGTATCTGCCCGAGGAAAAAGAACGAACCTCCTCCATTTGGCCTCTTAATTTTCTCTTTACTTTTACTCTTTACCTTACTCCTTTACTTTCGTGGATAAGGAAATGATGTTGTATGCACTCCACTGAAGACATCCATTAGCCTACATATTTAATTTAGCTTGTTAAGCGCAAAAATTTGTTCAAAAACTGTTTCGAAATTCAGTTCTAATTTCCAGCAAACGAATAAATGAACAATAATATTGAAGTGTGGTTAAAAAAACTGAGTTTTATCCAAACGCACATCCTATTCTTATGCCCCATATGGTGATGCCAAAAACCCGACAGGTGGACAAATCTAAACCACCTCCTTTATAGACTGGCACACCCATGAGTCCACAGTGCAAATGGATTTGATGTTTAAACAACATGGCGCAAAATGTGAAAATTTGGATTGTGCTGGTCTGAAAATAGCAACAAATCACGCCAAACACGTCTTGTGCCTTACTGCGCTGGGTGTAAAATAAGGCTCTTTGTGTTGTCTACGATTGCTAAATTCACTGTTTGATTAGATTTGATTACACATCACAAGTTCAATAGTGTGTTTAGATGTGGCAGAAGCACTCTGAAAACACCTGCTAGTTGCAAGGTATAATGCCGAATCAAAGCATAATCTAAAAAAAAACAGATCATTATCAATCGCCTGTGTGGGCACAAATATATTTATTGTTACATTTATTGTTATCATACTTGATGTGAACGTACCTTTATGCCCACGGGACTTCAGTATCATTGCTTGACTGAAGGCGTGTCTGAAATTGGGGCTGCCGCGATCGTCATAGCAGTGTCAGCCAATGAAATTCAGTCAGCAATAGGCCACTGTCTGGCTGGTGCATTTGCATACAGAAATCTGATTGGCTAGTCCCAAATTCGGCTGCGAGCAAAGCCTCTGAAGCGGCGCCGACGGATGTACAATGCAGTTCAGCAATGCCAGACGTCACCCATTCAAAGAGAATGGGAAGCATTGACGCTGACGCCCTGTGTGAATGGGGCGTTAGTTTTCACATATTGCATCTGTTGCACACTCAGTTTTGTGCATTGCGGCCATTTAAGGCATGCCTATACAGTGCAGCGAGTTGAAAATATCTCACCTTTTCAGAATGCCACTAGTGCATCATTCATCATGTGACAATTAGCTTCACATTTTGTGTGGATTACACATTCTGATAATAATAGTAGAGTAATTACCTCAGACAAATGCAGAACACCCAAAACACTGTGGTGCTTTTTAAATACTACTGCAGCAAAAGTTTGTCAATTTTGGTTTCTCAGCAGCACAAGCTCAGTAGTGCATTGAAATTGGTGAATGAAGCAAACCATCTCGTGTTTTCCACTCGATCTTAGTTGTATTATGTGAATACCCCCTTATTAAGCAAAACTTTAGTCAGTCTGCGGAAGAAAACTTTGTGTTATTTACTTCATTGTTGACTTAAAAATATTTTTAAAATGCGAGTTTTTTCCATTCCCTTTGTTCAGGAGGTAGAGAGCAGTGAACACTATGTAGGGAACATGTTGTTAATTCTTGGTGCATTTTTCTAATGATCTGTATATCTAAATCAGGTGTTTTAAACAAAAGAGACACACAAAATATGCAGTGCGCTGGTTTGAGAACTGCTGATATAATCACTGAATAGCAACAACTTACAACTAGTCCATAAATACACATACAGCTGTCAAACAGCTATAAACTTGAATAATGCTTCTTTGCCTGAGAGAATATTTTATGGCTATATTATGTACAGTAGAGTAAAGAATGGCCACAACTCTATCTTAACAGTTATGGTGGTAATATCTCAGGTTTATGCAAATTACATTTACCAAATGCCCATCAAATTTGGGTCTTATGCTTAAAAAAAGCAATGCTTGGTGCCATAGTATTGAAAACATTTTGCAGCTGGAAATATTGTGAAAAATTGGCCTATAGATGTTTTTTATTATATATTAATATATTATATAAATTATATACACTAAACGGCCACTTTATTAGGTACACTGCTTGTTAACGCAAATTTTTGATTAGCCAATCACATGTTAGCAACTCAATGTATTTAGGCACGTAGACATGGACAAGACGATCTGCTTGAGTTCAAACCGAGCATCAGAATGGGGAACAAAGGTGATTTAAGTGACTTTGAATGTGGCATGGTTGTTGTTGGCTGATCTGAGTATTTCAGAAACTGCTGATTTACTGCGATTTTAAAGCACAGCCATCTCTAGGGTTTACAGAGAATGGTTCGAAAAAGAGATAAGTGAGCAGCAGTTATGTGGGTGCAAATGCCTTGTTGATGCCACAGGTCAGAGGAGAATGGCCAGACTGGTTCGAGCTGATAGAAAGGCAACAGTAACTAAAATAACCACTCGTTATATCCAAGGTATGCAGAAGAGCATCTCTGAATGCACAACATGTCCAACCTTGAGGCAGATGGGCTACAGCAGCAGAAAACCACACCTGGTGCCACTCATGTCAGCTAAGAACAGGACATTGAGGCTACAATTCGCACACGTTCACTAAAATTGAATTAAAAGATTGAAAAAACGTTGCCTGGAATGATAAGTCTTGATTTCTGACATTCAGATGGTAGGGTCAGAATTTGGTGACAGTAACATGAAAGCATGGATACATTCGCCTTGTATCAATGGTTCAGGCTGGTGGTGGTAGTGTAATGTGCAGCCGACAAATTTGCAGGAACTGCGTGAAGCTATCATGTCAATATGGACCAAAATGAGGAATATTTCCATACCTTGTTGAATCTATGCTACGAAGGATTAAGGCAGTCCTGAAGGCAAATATGGGTCCTACTTAGTACCAGTAAGGTGCACCTAATAAAGAGGTTGGTGAGTGTATCATAATATAGAACAGGGCTGCTTAACCCTGTTCCTGGAGATCGACCTTCCTGCAAATTTCAGCTCCAACCCTGATCAAACACACCTGAACCAATTAAATAGGACCTTAACAGCACCTGATAATTACAGGCAGGTGTGTTTGATATGGGTTGCAACTGAAATCTGCAGGAAGGTCGATCTCCAGGAACAGGGTTGAGCACCCCTGATATAGAAGTTCATCAGATTTAGCCAACCTTAGTTTTGTCCCTACAATATAGCTATTGAAACACACATGCGCACTATGTGTAGAGACCATATGCATACATTCGCTACTGAGAAGATTCAATAGAGCTTGCTTATTGTTGTACAGGTACTTTTTTTCTGACATATGTGCTTCATATTCTGCATATTCTCACTTATGTTCCTCCAGAGAGACCAGATCTTACTTTGTTCTCTGTTCAAATCCTCAGAGTTTTGCATATTAAACTTGGTAGGGACCAAAAGAGATGCTAAATATATCCAAGCACACCTTATACTTTATGTGGAGGTACGGCGTTCAGTTATCATAAGCACAAACATGGTAATGAGTTATTTTATTCAGGTGGGAGTTTGAAGTTTATTAAAAATGTATTGTGATTATTCATTTTCTTATTAAATGTCATTCTTTTTCTTTCTTTACATTTAGTCTTCTTTTCACCTGGGATAATGTCCTTTTTACTTTGTGATGCATTTTTTTCTTTAACTGATTTTTATTCAACTTTTGCCTTTTTTTTTATTTGTTTTTGAAATTATTACCAAGTCTTCAGATTTTTTTTGGGCCGAGAACAAGGTATATCAACACAGACTAAAACCATTTTTTAAATAATAAATATAAAAATAATTGAAAATTATGACCACAGTAATTAATAATAAAAGAGACCTTTACATTTTATTATGTATTAATAAAATAATGAAAAATAATTAAGACTAACAAAACTATAAACTTGAATAATACTTATTTGCCGGAGATAACATTTTGTGACTATATTATGAACAGTAAAGGAAGACTAAATTTGCACCTTGTAATATCTCAGGTTTATGTAAGTTAAATTTGTAATGTAAATTGTTGCCAAGTCTTCAGATTTTATTATTATTATTTTTTTCCCGAAAACAAGATTTATCATCATGGATTAGAACCATTTTTTATCAATAAAAAATATATAATTTGAATAATTTAAAGTAATAAATTACGACCACAGTAATTAATAATAATATAGGAATTTTACATTTCATTATGTAATATTAAACAAAAAATAATAAAATAATGAACAATAATTCATAAAGACTTAAACAAAATGTTAATGAAATCCTAATTCATACAACTTTTTTTTAATAATATGTTACTATCATGACATCATTATCAACATGACCAGCAGCATAAAGAAGTAAGAGTTTGAAAAGTGTGTTTTAACAAGACGATTCAAATGTTATCACTCGATTGAATGGCCGTCAGTGGTTATCAGCAGATAGATATGGGCCAGTAGGGGCCTCTTGCACCTTCGATTAGGCTCAGTAGGCTGTTATCATCCATCAACATAGTCAAATCATATGTCGTTGTGGCCGAAAGTTAACGAGAATTATTTATTTATTTATTAAATTTCCCATTAAATGTATTTTACTTCTATCCCAACCCCACTTATCATAATAATGTAAAAACAGATCTGGAGTCTCCTCTATTAGTATAGCTGATTAACCATGTAGATGAATGATAACAGCCTTCTGAGCCTACTAGTAGGCACAGAAGGCCCCTACTGGCGCATATTTATCAGCTGATAACACCCATTCAATCGACTGATAACATTCGAAGCAGGTAGTTTTAAGTCTACACGGCCAAATGTTCCCATATCCGGAAAAAAAATCTATTCTTGTATAAAGGTTTGCTGTTTCATCTGAGCTAAAATGCCATCGTCTTCACTTTGCTCCTACAAATAACTGTCTGTGTCATTTCTGTGCTGCATATATAAGCTTTGATAGGTCAGGGTCGATTTGACAATAAAAAACGCTGTATGTGCATACAAAAATACAGACAGGAAGCCAGGCCATGCCAAACATCCTGTTTATAGAGTCAAAAGTGATAACAGTCTTCAGATGCAGCAGCAGAGATCAGACTTTATTAAAGCAGAGCTCACATCGACTCCGCATTTTATGTTTTCATTGCTTTTGACAGAAATGTGCATCAATTGCCTCAAAAGCAGGTCATTAATACACATGCATGCACTGTTGAGTCTGCTTCCTGTTTTCATTAGCCAGTCTGACCACCTTGCATCATTTACGTCCGAGTGGATCAGGCTCGGTGAAAGGCAGGAGATGTCACCCACACTAAACTCACCTGTCTTCAGATTGACAACTTAAACTGCCCCCCTGCTGCTATTCCTGCCTCTTCTCATTCTCTGTCTGCCTCTAACTGTCTGCCTCTTCCTTTCCCTCTTTCTGACCTGAAAACAGCAACATTTTGGAGCCAGTCAAGCAAAGTTTACTGCTGACTCCAACTTAGAGCTGCTTTCTGAATACCCATTTTCTTTTTTCTTTTTTTTTAAATCAAACACGGTGTGACTTAAAGGGGTAGTTTACCCAAAATTTATGATTCTATATCCTTTATTCATTCTTCACTCGTTTGAAACCTATTTGAGATTCTTTCTTCTGTTGAACACAAAAGAAGATATTTTAAAGAATTCAGGTTACTGGGACCTCTTGACGTCAATAGTAGTGGGGGGTAGTCAATGGGTCTCATTTACTGGCATTCTTCAAAATATCTTCTTTTGCATCCAACAGAAGAAAGAAGCTCATAAATATTTAAAACCACATAAGGGTGAATAACTTATGAAGTTGTTTTTAATTTTGGGTGAACTATCCCTTTAAAGTGAGTTTACACTTGGCAGGTTGGATTCGGCTCTCTGGTTTGATTGAAATATGGATCAGTGATCCATCTAAAGCAGTGGTTCTCAAAGTGGAGGTCGGGACCTGCTGGGGTTTCGTGAGATAATGAGGAGGGGTCGCTTGGTGATTTCCAAAAATGTCATATATTTTATTAAAATATTAGAATTATCATATTTAATCAATGATTATAGTTTATTTGGGACCCTTGGGGTTATTATGCTAGATTACCATCACAGCAATAGCGTTAGTTGCAGCAGATTTATTTTGCGGTTCAATATTAAACTTTGACACCTTTTTGGCACTTATATTAAAAATAAATACCTCGACTGAACAAAGAGGATGATCTCCAAGTGGCTCCAAAATAAAACCAAGAATAGTCTTGTGCTATAAACATTGTGCTCACCATTCTCATTAAGTAAGGTTAATATTAAATTAAACAATTGAATAATGATTTAAAAAAACATATGGTAAGACTGTTGCACTTTCTTGTGTTGCTACTATGCTTATGTTCATATAGTTCCTATTGGTAAGTGTGCACAATTGTGTGCAATATTTGCTTATAACCACCTCCGAGCATAGTGGGTGTCGCGAGTCACTGGAGTTGTTATTTTAGGGGTCACAGGCTGAAAAGTTTGAGAACCCTTGATCTAAAGGAACAAAACCAGGACATGATGTCTCAATACGGGACTTTAAAAGCACAGGATGCTCAAGAACACTTGGTTTCTCTTCATATCATGAATTATATGGAAAGTAAATGTATTATGTTCCCGGCCAAAACTGTGAAACTAAGCTATTTCAAAACAACTTATTAAATGCAGTTCTCATCAATTAAGTGCAAAATCCACAAAGCACTCATGTTTACTTATAATAAAAAAAAAATGCTGTTAGGAGTCATTGTGTCATATTTCCCCCCCAGATCCTAATCTTGAATGTCAAATTAAAAAAACAACTATCTAAAATCTTTGCTTAAAATACTTGCTATTCTGTATATGAAACATCTTGTGGATAACGGAGGCCCGTTCTTCAGGTGGAGGTATCAAGGATTTCTCTTTTCTCTGAATCCCCCGTTGACAAAAATCTTCACCTGTCTTCAGCGGTATCAGTGACAACCTGTATTATTTCTGTGTCTACTGATAAGCCCCTAGGCTGGATTATATCACCTGTCTCTTGTCCTGACAGACATCACGGATCAGCCAGCAGATCATCGCTACAGACGGAGGGAGTCGGAGCAGCTCGGTCGACCTCACTGTCATCATCACCAACGTGCACAACCAGCCCCCGCAGTGGGAACAGGCGGAATATTGGGTCACCATCCCAGAGAACACACCACGCGACACCAAAATAGTGGTAATGCATTTATATAATTTAACAGTGCTTTCTTTAAGCATGGCAGAATTTGTCAAACATTTGCAGGGTCGGCGATAAAGGTACAAGGAGTCTTTAGTTTTTTATTTTCAAAATAAGGGAGCACTTGTGGCAGTCATACTCTCTAGGCTCATCTCTCTCATTCTGGTCCGCCGTCTAGCTTTTTAAGCGTCTCTCTGGCCCAATCACTTTGGGAAAACAGGTGATAATCATGGCTTTGCCGCCGGTCTCCCACCGTACTTTTCTCCATTGCGGGTAGCCTGGACACACCCTCCTCGCCACAATGTACAACTTCTAAAGCTAACTTCTGTCAGTCTCATTTTTTAACAACGATGCAGATATGACTTGTTTAAACTTAAATTTTTGTAAATCTTTAATGCTTTGGTGCACATGTTTAGGTTTGGTCCCATTGTAAGGAAAAGTAGAGAAGAGAAAAAAGTTCTGTATGCTTAGTTTATGAAAATAATTTAAAAAGTATACATTTTCTCATATTCTATATTGAATGTTTTATATTGAAAACCTGTTTTAACCAATTAAAAAAAATTTATAGCATAAAATGAAATATAAAATAATATTCAAACAAATTATATTCCAAATTAAAGTTGATATCTTAAAAGCTGGTTTCAGTATGTTTTGGGTGCAGTACCAAACATCAATAGCTGACTTCCATTTTCTATTGGTGACCTAATCCTGTGTGTGGTTTGGGTGATATGAACCATATTTTTGATACTTTTCACAACATTAAAATAAACATCACATTTTCAAGTAGTATTGGCGGTTTGATGGTTTTTGACCCACGCAAACACGGGGAGAACATGCCAACTCTACACAGAAATGCCAACTGACCCAGCTGAGGCTCGACCAGTGACCTTCTTGCTGCGAGGCGACAGCACTACCCACTGCTCCTCCGTGTCGCTTATTTAAAACATATTCAGATATATATATTTTTTCTTTATTAAATATAGAATTGATGTTATCTTTTGACGTTTCTAGACTATTTTTGTGATTTAACTAGGATTGCTGTAGCGAAGTAATGCCTTAAAACTAGACTATCCTTTGTAGCAATTTAATGAATAACTGTTGCTCATAAATATCTTTTAAAAAATCAGTCATGAAATACGTAAACTAGAAATGTGTCTAGTTTGTCATGATTGCTTTATTATTTTAGTTATTGGGTTAAAATGTACTTTTCTTCCAGTCAGATCATGCAGTTTTTAAATTATAACTCTTTAGATATTTAGTTAGATTAGAACTAATTTGTTAGATTATAGTTAGATAATTATTTTGTAGTTATATTTTATAGTTAGAAAGTTATTTTATTTTTTTTTGGAGACGGTAAAACTTAAAAAAAAATATCTTATGCAAAAAATGGATGAATATATTTGATTAAAAATACAGTTTAATAATATTAAGAATGCTTTGTTTTTTATATTTTCAAAAAATTTAATTTATTGCTATGATTTTAAGTTGTCATTAGCAATCACATGATGCTTCAGAAAATATTTTAATGTGATAATTTGTTGCAAAAAAAGAAAGATTTCTTATTATCATATTATTATATGGTACATGTTCCCAAAAGATAAAAAAAAAGAGAGATAAGATCATTAGTGTTTTATTGCCATTCAAGTGCGTAGCACCAAATGTTGGGCTCCACACATTACCATATTTGCATATGTTACCCCCATCTCCTCACCCCTGCTGTCACTTCTAGTAGTTTCTATATATATATATATATATATATATATATATATATATATATATATATATATATATATATATATATATATATATGTGTGTGTGTGTGTGTATAGAAATGACCCCCCTCCCCCCGCTTACATAGATTTCTTGAAAGGCTCTACATAGTGCCAACTTAAATGTGTGTCATGTAAATAGTGCACTCAGAACACAGCTGACAGTTGATTTTATTGCAAACAATGTGAGAGACACATAAATATGCATACAGTACACAAACATTATACAGTACACAAACAGTCCTTATAATTATTTATAGATTCATCAGTACTTCTCAATACTGAATGGATTATAAGCATTGTAATCAATCTCCATCTGCCGACCTGAGTTAATTTTCTCTCAGCTTATCACGCACTGCAATCTGGGATTGTTTTCTTCTCCAAAAACAAATGCAGTATGCTGCCCTTAACCAAAATGAGCTTAATTAAGATGTTTTGTAATAGCATTTGTGTCAAGATCACATCTATGATTCTTCTGATGTATTTCTCCAGGTTTTCACACTTACTCTTTTATTTTTATTGATTGATTTAAACAGTGTAGTTGTTTTCTCTCAAAATGCTTCTTGCTTTGGTTGTGCTGTTGATAAGCTGGAGGTAGAGTGTTGTGACTTTCTCACCGCCGAGGCTTGTCACATCTTATCCAACCTTCATCTTGTTTGCTATTTCAGCCCGTTTCATTCGCTGTCACATTTTACATTTGTCTGGGAGCTTGTACCCACAGAAAGATCAGCATCCACAAACAACCTCATCTGTCCGGCAAACTCAAGCAGACTGCTTGTCTGAACATTCTAGTCTAATTCATTCAAAAGAGGCGAAAAGGCCAGTCCTCGGAGTCCGTTTTCCTCACATGCAGCAGATTTTTTTTTCCAGCAAAGAGCGCCAGGAGGACTTCTGCTGTGTTTCCCTGACATCAGCGGCTTCTTTGGGCTGCTGCCAGCTATTCTGCAATCTGTATGAAGCTCCGCATCTGTCTTTGCAGTCCTCGGTGGCTCAAACTGTGGCAGGGATGTTCTCCTCTTCACGTTGCCACAGGATGTAAAATAGGCTTAGGTGGGATGTTTGATCTTAAAATACCTTCTTTCCCCGCTGGCATGTAAAGGGTGGTTCCGTCTGCATGGGTTTTAGTGTGCGGACTGCTTGGCTAGTCGTTTTTGCTAACCTGTTTGTAAAGACCTGCAGGGTTTGTAATGCACTTTTGAAAATAAAGAGGGGATTTCATAGCAGTGCTTTTTTTCTTAGTGAGAAGAACATTTCAAGAATTCAAAGATACTTTTTTTCACAATAAAGAAACTTTGGTTGACTGGAAAAGTTCCATAGATTATGAAGTGAGATACTGTACGCACAAATACACTTAAAGCTCTTTTAAGGCAAATCTTCCAAATCGACCACTTCTTGGTCATTTTTGTAACATTCATTCATTAATTCATTCATTTTTATTTGGCTTACAGTAGTTCTTTATTTATCAGAAGTTGCAAAAGCGTAATGAACCACCAACTATTCTGGCATATTATATATGCAGCAGATGCCATTCCAGCCATAATCCAGTACTGGGAACATTTTGGTAATATAATTGAAATATTTTAATCACATGCACATAAGTTGCATTCTTCCATTCTTCCCTTTTTTTAAAGGGGTCATGGGCTGCCTTTTTATTTTGTACTGTCTTATTAAGATTTTTAAATACAAATGGTTTTGTCCTGTTTTAAATATACTGTTTAATTACGTGTGGTGGACTGTAGACTTCAAAGTAAATGCTCACTGGTATGATTGGCTTACAATTTGAGTATTTAAAGATTTTAGAAAGTGGGACAGGACAGATGTTTTGGCCACTGATAAACTTCTGTGGTAACACTTCAGTTTAAACACCATTTTCCACTTTTAACTACTGTCTTGATACCTGTCTATTAATATAATATTGGCTGTTTATTAGTTATTATTAGGTATGATCTTATTCTACATCGCTAATCCTACCCAATGCCCAACAAAGTCCCTTTAAGGCAAGTCATTTCACTTGACGGCCACCTTTGAAAAACCTCTCGGGCAGTATGCTCGGGCATTCTGTTTGAAAGGGGAAACATTAAATTTTCCAAAACTGCTTGCCAAGCTTAGGAATGAATTTCATATTAGGGATCATCCATTAAAATAAACATCTGCTAAGTTTCATTGCTTAACGTCTAAATCGCACAAAATCTGCAGAAACTTACGTCTGGTCCAAGGCCCTCCCCTGAAGTATCGTCAGCCTAGAGCAATCGATGATTGGCTCCTGTACTAAAAGGCTGGCTTTACTTGCCATAAAGAGTTTGAGGATTGGCTCCTGTACTAGTAAGCGGGACATTATTCGCAATATTGACAGTTAAACTTTTCCACATTCAAAGAGATATGAGTGACATGTGAGTATTCTATAGTCCTTGATACCCAACGACTAGCTTACTGATAAGCAGCTAATTAGTAGTTTACTGAGCTAAAAGTGTTAGTTATTGGTTTGTTAACAGGTAGAATTGTAAGGTTAGTACACAGTCATAGTCATACACGCAAAGCTATGTATATTTTTAATATTTTAAAGAAAAGATGTCAAATGATGAGATCTTTGTGTGGAGTACTGGCTGATATCAAACTCTTTGTGCACACAAAAATCTCTGAATAATTACGATCAATAGCTAAATATATTTGAAAACAGACATACTTTTGAAAATGTAGTCATACTTCTATGGTTATTTTGGTTAAAGTAACAAAAAATTTATACAAAATATGCATTTCTGAAATGTTAAGATCGTAATGTAATTAATTACAAAAAAAATTTACAGTAACTAGTAATATTTAATGTATTACATTTTGGAAGTAACTTGCCCAACTTTGTTTGTAATATTGGCAATGTTCGTTAGCACCAGGATTAGATATTAAATTGTCTATGCACAATTTAGCTAACATAGCAGATGTTGCATTAAAATTTGTGAATTTATTTAAATTGTTAAATGGGAAACTGTAAAATTATTAAAATAATTATATAATTTTTTATTGGTCTTTAATTTTTAAAGTTGCTTATATAAAACAAAAACAAGGACAGGACTTTTTTTGCAGGACTTTTTTTTTTAGAACAATCATACCTCTTACATGCCAAAATAAAGGAAGTTTTAGTTTCACAGTTCACAGAAATACGCATATGTCAGCCTCATGTCAGCCTCCCTTTACATTGCATGTGATGTGAGGATTGTTATTTGTGTGGCACTCAAG